CCCCGCCCCCCGGGATGACACTGCTGGTTCTCTCCCAGCGCGGCGGGGCCGCCGCCGCTGCCAGCCTGCCCGCCGGGTTGTCGGAACAAGCGGCACCTCGCCTCCTGCGTGTCCCTGCAGAGCCCCGACATAATTAGACAGCCCCAAGCCGGCTCGGAAACCCGAAATCCCTGCTCCAGCGCTCGCCCACCGCAGCCAGAGTTGTTGAAACAGCCTTCACTCTATTTTCTTCCCCGTCTCATTTCTCATCTTTTTATTTTTTCTTTCTTTTTCCGCCTCACACGCATCCACACGCGCCCCCACAGGGTCTCTTTCTGAGGGTGCAAGTTCATCGCCTCCCACCAAAGTCCCACAGGCGCCTAGCGCCGCGCGGAGGTTGGGACCCGGCGGATCGAGCTCAGCGCCAGGAGCTGGGATTCGGCCTCCGCGAGGGACAACGGCCGGGCCTCAGGCCGCAGCCCCGGCGGGACAGTTCGTCCTATAGGCTTAAGGACCGAGTTTCACCACCACTAGCTCGCAAATGGCACCCCCGCTCTGAAAACAAAGCAGCGGGTCTGACGTGGGGGCCTGCGCCCCGCACCGCGCGCAGCAGGAGCCTCCAGAGAAGCGCCGGGCCCCGCGGGACGTCGCCCCGCGCCCTGTGGGGGTGGGGAGAGCGAGAAGAGAGGGCCCGGGGAAGGAGACTGGAAACAGCCTGCAGACGGGAGGGGACAGGGAGACGCGGGGCGCAAGGTTCACATAAGCCCAGGTTCCGATTCCAAGTGAAGACAAGCCCCCTGCCGCTGCGCCCTCGCAGACCTCCACGCCTGGCAGTCCCAGCTCCAAAGGCCAAAAAGAAAGAAAGGAAAGAAAAAATAGCAAAAGCGGGGACTGCACCTATTTATTTAGGTAACCCCCGGCCACGGCCCCCTCCCCCTCTCCTGACTCATGGACTCATTTCAGCGGGGCTTGTAAGAGCTGCGGGAGCAGCGGCCGGGTCTCAGAGCCTTTCGCCGGCCGGCCGGTGGTGCTGGGGCTTTCCCGGCTGCCCCCAAGAAACCGAGCAATCGGGGGACCCAGGGTTTCTAAAGGGGCTCCAGTGCGGCGCGCTCTATCGGTCCCCGGGGCTCTCCGCACCGGAGGTCGCGTGCAGCCCCCTCCAGGATTCCCACGGTCACGCAGCCGGCTACGGGGCAGCTGCGGGCAGGGGCGCGGCGTGGGGANAAAAAAAAAAAGGTCGGGGGAGGAATAAATAAATAAATAAACATTCAGGATCGGAGAGGAAGTTGAAGGAGGTGAAGGGTTCTCTCTTTCCTTTCTCTTCCTGGTGACTTGGGCTCCCAGACTCTCGCCAGAGAGGCGCGCCGAGCGCACGGCGTGTGCCCAATCGCCAGCGACTGCCTCGGAAACCCATACTTGTCCCTCTGCTCTCTGCTCTGAGGCACAGACGACGTTGGTCAGAAAAAGGGGGAAAGTGGGACACAGGCGTCGCAGGGGGGGATGAAAAGGCGGCGTCCGCATCCAGCCTCTCCATTCTTCAGGCGAGGCGGAGAGGCGGG